GCCCGGTTCCCTTAGACAGGCAAGCAAAAAACCCAAAGTGTACACACAGCTTTGGGAATAAACTATAGAAGTTCCGCGCGGATCCCTTGAGTCGAAGAGGGGACCCTCCTGCGGCGCCTCCGCTCCGCGGGCCAGGGAGGAGGCGGCGGGAGGCACTGCCGACACAAGAAACCAACCTTGGAACCTCGAGGACCACTCCGGCGAGGCGTTCTGGAAAGGGTCTCACTTTCGAGGATCGAAGGAGTTGGCATCTCTTTCTTTGCGGAAGTTGACGGAAGGCGGCGGAAATAAACATCAGTCCCCCCAAGAGTCGGCAAGGTTTTTTGGTTCAGGGTTTCCGGAACCTCGTCGAGGAAACGCACACATGGAGCAAGTCGCGTAGATTAGCGACGGGCCCCGTTTCGATCCAAAATCGGCGCGCTCCGTCGCCAATCAGGCGGCACTGGCGCCATGTGTCGGGAGTCACGTTCCCCGATCCGTGGATCTGGCGCCCACGCGCCAGATCCACCGTTCCCTGAGCCATGCCTGCGTGTGCCCGACCTCGGAGCCCACGGCCCCCCCCATCCTCCTCCTCCTCCTCCTCCTCCTCCTCCTCCTCCTCCTCCTTCTCCTCCTCCTCCTCCTCCTCCTCCTCCTCCCCCTCCTCCTCCTTCTTCTTCCCACAGCCCTGAGGACCAACGTCTGAGGTGTCCACACATGCATACGTCAGCGGTGAGAATGGCGGCAAGTATAGCGGGGGACGAGGAGAGCAGCAACGTGCGCGAGAGACACAGCCGAATCTCGCCCGCAAGGCCTGGCAACACTGCACTCGCCCGAAGGAACGAGTAGCACATGAAACAAGGACCTTAGGCGGGAAGCGCAACCCCTATATACATGGGGGCGCCAGCAGCCATGACGAGAAGCGCAACCCAACGGACGACGTGGGGCGCAAGGAATGGCGCATGGGGGCACAAGAATGGATGCACTAGGCGCACCAAGAATGCAGCTAAGCGCCACTCACTGGTAGACGATCTCAGGACTCCTGGCGGCCGTGTGGCAGTACATCTTGTCGAAGGCTGTCTTGTCGCTGAGCAACGGTAGGAAGACAGCGGCCACCCCAGGCTGCCCTTCCTGAGCAGCGAGGTCGTACAATATCTGGAACACCTGGTCGTTAGCAACTGGGTCCACATGTTGGCACTCGAAAGCGGCCTTTTGGAACGCCATGCCGTCCTCCTCCTCCTCCTCCCTCCTCCCCCTCCTCCTCTCTTTCTCCTCCCCCTCCTCCTCCTCCTCCTCCTCCTCTCCTCCTCCTCCTCCCCCTCCTCCCCCTCCTCCGCCCCCTCCGCCCCCAGACCCATCTGCACTCCGGCCCTCCTCGCTCCTCCCCTTCCCCTCCCTCCTCCTCCCCTCCTCCCTCCTCCTCCTCCTCCTCCTCCTCCTCCCCCTCCTCCTTTTCCTCCTCCTCCTCCTCCTCCTCCTCCTCCTCCTCCTCCTCCTCCTCCTCCTCCTCCTCCTCCTCCCCCCCCCGAGACTCCCACGTAATCTTCCAGGACACCCACAGAACCTCCAGGAGGAGGAGCAGCAGCAGCAGCAGCAGCGGGGACGAGAGGACTGCAGTTAGGTCGGGCAGGTCCTCCTACAGGCGGGTTTTGGGAGAAAAGTAGGAAATAGTCCAAAGTAATCAAAATACAAATCCAGAAATAAAAAACACACAATAATAATTGTTCACGATTTTTGAATATACGTCCTGTAGAGGGACATGCCCGACTTAAAATTGCAGGAACCGATGACGTCCAAAAGTAATGACGGTGCGGAGGGGGCATCAGAAAACATGTCGGCAGGAGCCCCCGGTCCCGGCTTTGCGGCTCACGTCTCGAGCCGGATCGGTTCGCGCGGGCCCCGCGGGGCCGAACAGTGGCGAAACAAGAATTTGTTGGTGATCATTTTCTTACTCATTGTTTTGTCGATTGGCGCGGGCCCTCGCACCCCCCTTTCCCCCCCTCCCATGGAGTAGATCTTGGCTGTTTTTGGCGCCTGCTTCACGCAGGCGGAGCCTCCCTCAGCGGACGCACGGTTCCAAACAGTCGCACGAAGCAGAGGTCCGGAGCCAGACCCCTTTCTTGCCATTCCCCCACTTCCGCTCAATGTCGAAACGCCGAATATGACGACCCAACAACACACATTCATACCCATAGGGGGGGTGGAAAGGGCTATGGGTGCGTGCTGTCGGATGGGGGTCCCCGCTCGAACGGGAGCGTTCCCTAGGGTCCGACAACCCGCACCCATACCCATAGCCAGTCCTCCTCCCAACGACCCCCTTATGGGTATGGGTGTGTGTTGTTCGCTCGTCAGAATAAGCCAACGCTCATGTTGCCAAACGCCGCCCAGATGGCGCGCTCACATGGATGCTTTCGGTGATGTTCGTCGTCGGCGGGAGCGAAATGGGCGGCGGGTCCGCGCGCGGAGGCTTGGCGCGGAGGGCTGCGGAGGTGAAGAGTGAGCAGGGGCAGCGTCGACCCGCCTGGCAAGCAAGGGCAACCTTCCCAAGGATGCTGTACCCTTGCCTTGGCATCGCTCGGACGTGTGCATTTTTCCTTCGGCGAGGGCCATCGAGGAGCATCCTTGATCATTTGGCACAGGGAATGGACGTCCGAGCGATGGCGAGTTGCGTCCTCGCCCCCGTCGGCCGGCGACTTCTGCTGGCCAGCCTCGCTCGAAAGACGTCAGTTCGGCCAGGGCTCATTTCGATTCCTCCGACTCGACTCGATTCGACTTCGACGGCCTCCGATTACGATGCGATTCGACTTGGGATTCCGATTAGGGCTCCGATTTCTTATTGGAGGCATATTAGCCTGCCGATTTCCGCCGACCAGACTTTTCCTGGCTCGACCGCATTTCTGCCGATCCGATGCTTCTCAATCGCCGATCCGACTTACCGATTCGATTCTGGGCTCTCTTGGCTTGGCCCTCCAAGGCCCTCGCATCCGTTCCGCGCATCCTTAGGATACGGCTTGACTGTAGGGTCAAGTCGGGCATGTCCCTCTACAGGAAGAACATCCAAGAATAGTCACAACATAGAGTGGGGATGATGTCTCGACGATGTTTGACTATGTTTGAGCATTTCTTTGGGGGTATGTTTCATCTGTCCTGCAAAATCTGCCTGCAGGGGGACGCGCCCGACCTAACTGTAGGGTTGTAGGTCGGGCATGTCCAACTACAGGCGGATTGTGGACGAAAAACACAAAATAGTCAAACAACTCCCAAATGGCCAACATTCTTCTAACCAACAAAAAAACACATCCCTGAACTATGTCCTGACTATGTTTGAAGTTTCCTCCTGCAGAGGGACGCGCCCGACCTGACTAACTGCAGGGTCGGGGGGCACGCATCGACCCCCCCCCCAAAAAAAAGATCGCCCGCTCCTCGCCGAGCACGGGGGGCCGGGCCCCGAGGGAGCCCGCTCGACGCCCGAGGGAGCGCGCGCGCGCGCGCGCCGGGGGGGGGCTCGGCCGCCGGGGAGCGGCTCCTCGCCGCTGCCTCCTGGCGACTGCGCCGCGGGTGCCGGCCGCTGCGAAGCCGGGCGTGCCTCCCTCCCAGAGCGTCGGGGGGCGGAGGGGGGTGATGACCTAGGCCTCCCAGATGGGGTCGGAGTAGATGGGGTCGGAGGATCGCGCCGCATCGCCGATGCATCGCCGCCGCGGCTCGATGTGCAACCCGCTTGGCTTCACGTCAACGTCGCCGATGTGTCTGTCGCCGACGTCGCCGATGCATCGCCGGTACATCGCCGATGCATCGCCGATGCATCGCCGATGTATCGCCAATGCATCGGCGATACGGCGCGATCCGCCGACCTCATCTCCTCCGACCCCATCTGGAAGGCCTCTAGATGACCAGGGGGGGATGGGTATCATGGCGGTGGCCATGATATTTTCCCAGATTTCGTGGCGCCTCTTCTTATTTCAACACGTCCCATGGCCCCCCACCCCGCCGTGCCGCGCACATGCCGCCAGCCATGATTTGCACCCCCTCTCTTGGACACCCCCCTCTTGGCCGCCCCCGACGAGGAGGGATATCCAAAAGTTGCCACAACAAAAAATAGTCTGGGGGCGATGTCTTGACTATGTTTCTGACCATTCGGGGGCATGGTTTGACTGCGTATTGTTGATTTTCCGTCCGAAATCCGCCTGTTGAGGGGGACATGCCCGACCTGGTGCCAGCCCGAGGTTCCCCACACACACACACACACACACACACACACACACACACACACACACACACAAACACACACACACACACACACACACACACACCGAGCCAGCCCCTCCTACAGGAGGGATGTTCAAAAATAGTCAAAAACAAATACGGTGAGGGCGTTGGTTAAGGAATGCACCCAGGATGCTGCAGGCCCTGGAGGGTTCCTTCTCTGATGAGGGCGGCGGTGATATCCACGGGCAAGCCTCGATTGGAGTTCCACCGGCCTCCAGACCCTGGATTCTTTATCTAAGGGTTCCTTATCCAATGCTCCCACCGTAGTCTGGGGGCGATGTTTGGATTCTGCTTCTGGCCATTTGGGGGCACTGTTTGGCTCTTGCTGATTCGTCGTCCAGGATCCGCCTGTAGGGGGACATGCCCGACCTGATGCCAGCCCGAAGCTCCCCTCCCACACACACACACACACACACACACACACACACACAGACCCCCCGAGCCAGTCCTCCCCCCCCCTGCTCTTGCCCCTCGAAGGGAGACGTCCACGGCGTCGGGGGTCAGGGCTTCCAGGATCGGCCACAAGTTGGCCACCACCCACCAAGCCACCCCACGACCCAACCCCCCGAAGGCTTCAAGTTGCCCTCCATTTCCAGTTGGGGGGGTCGGGGAACATGGGAAAAAACATATATGAAACCCGTACCCCCCCCCCCCCCACCCACCCCGAAATTCGGGTCTTCGGGTTGGGTTGGGGTGGTCAAGCAGGTAGTCAGTCAGGCGATGGGCAGCAGCAGCAGCAGCAGCAGCAGAAGCAGGACTTCGGGGCCCAGCTGCTGCAGCCCCGGTCGTTCGGCGGCTACATCTTCCAGCCGAAGCAGGACGCCGGGCGGGCGTGTGTGTGTGGGGGGGCAGGGGGGGGAGGGGTCAAGGTGCTTCATCTGTGGCGAGTCTCGCCTCCTCGTCCTCCTCCTCGACCTCTCCCGCCACGGGGGGGGGGAATGGAGGAGCAGGAGCAGCAGGAGGAGGAGGAGGGATGATGACGTCGATCATGGATCGGCCTGGCTGTTGTCTGATGGAGGGAGGGGGAGGCTTCACAACTGTCTCAGGGTGGTCATCAAGGTGTGCTTGTGGCTCTGGGGGGGGTTCTGGGGCTCCTCCTCCAGCACCTGCCCCTCTCCGCGTCCCCCTCCCGGGGAGGAGGGATGGAAGCGAGGATGGGGTCTGGGTGGGAGGGAGGATGGACCGGGGCGGGGGGTGAGAGGGGAGCGAGGAAAGGGGAGGGGAAGGACGAGGAGCGGGGAGCGAGGAGCGAGGAGCAGGGAGGGAGAAGCGAGGAAGGAGTAGCGAGACGTGTGGAGGTGGAGGAGGAGGAGGAGAGGAGGAGGAGGAGGAGGAGGAGGAGGAGGAGGAGTGGGAGGAGAGGAGGAGGAGGAGGAGGAGGGAGGAGGGAGGGAGGAGGAGGAGGAGGGAGGAGGAGGAGGAGAGGGAGGAGGGGAGGAGAGGGGAGGAGGAGGAGGAGGGGAGGAGGAGGAGGAGGAGGAGGAGGAGGAGGAGGAGGAGGAGGAGGAGGAGGAGGAGGGGGGAGGAGGAGGAGGGAGGGGAAGGAGAGGAGCGAGGAGGGCCGGAGTGCAGATGGGTCTGGGGGCGTCTGGGGGCTCCGCATCCACCTCCTCCCATTCCCCCCCCCCACCGTTCTCCTGCTCGGCTCGGCCCGGAGGGCACCTCGAGTCTCCTTGCGCTGGCGCCTGCAGGCTGCTGGGGGAGACGCGGCCCACGCATGCAGAGTTCCTTCACCCGATGGGGGCACCGGAAGACGGGCCGGCCCTAGAAGGGGCCCAGGCAGTGGGGCCACGGGCGCCCGTGGAGCGACGGGGGCGGGCCACCCAGGGGTTGCGGCCCTCGCGGGGGGGGGCATACGCGAAGTGGGAGACAGGCGGGAGAGGAGGAGAGGAGGAGGAGGGGGAGAGGAGGAGGAGGAGGAGGACGACGGAGGAGGTGGACGAGGAGGAGGAGGAGGAGGAGGAGGAGGAGGGGGAGGAGGAAGACAAGGAGGAGGAGGAGGAGGAGGAGGAGGAGGAGGAGGAGAAGGAGGAGGGATGGACGAGGGATGGGGGAGGGCAAGGGGGGTGGGGAGGGGCGGCCGGGAGGTCAGACGGAGGTCCTAATGCCGAGGCGCCGTTCGTCGGGTTCACCAGATCTCTGGCGATGTCTTGTTTTCTTCCGTCGGGGCGTGTTCCCTCGATATCGAGCTCTGGGGCCCGTCATCAGGCGACGGGGCCATCACAAGTGGATCTGGCAAGAAAAGCAAATAGTTACCCCCGTGGAAGGGGTCAGGACCTCTGGTCACAGGGCGCGTTCCACCCCCACGGCGGATCTGGGTCATTTGCGAGAAGCTACTCTGCGAGTAGTGGAGCGCGCTTGTCCATCTGGGGTCGCGCATTGGAAGTTCATATCGTCGGATCACTCAGTATATTGTTTTTCGGGCTCCCTCTCAGCATGCTCGTCCTAGGGGCCGGGCCCTCGTTCGAGGTTCGCGGTTCCTGGCCTGGCTCGCGCAGCCAGCGCCCCTTGGGGCCGCGCAGCACCTCCTCCGGCGTCTGCATCTCTTCCTGCTCGACCGCCCGCTTGTCGGTGCCGCTCTCCTGGTGGTCCTGCTCCTTCTCCGTCTCGCGCGGGGGAATCACCCTTACGAGAGGCTCGCTGGTCTTGGCCTCGCACTCGGCCTCGCATTCACACAGTCAGAATGCATGGTAAGGACGTTGTACTTCCGTAAGGGTGCCCTTGCATCCTTGCCTCCTCGGCCAGTCCTTGGCCAGCTTAGGCATCCAAGGGCATCCAAGTTGGAAGGCCCGAGGGCGTTGCATCCTCACGCTGCGTCTTGACCGCCGACGTTGATCGTGGTGCGGCCGGTGGTGCGCCCACTCCTGCGGCGTCTCGTCGCCCTGGCCAGGTCGCGCCGCGCGTCCAGGGCGCCCTCGG